TCCCCTAAACAAAATTCCAAAAAAAGCAGTAAAAACCATAGAACCACCTAAACCTGAAAAACCCTAAACCCTAAAAGCCTAAACCCTAAAAACTCTAAACCCTGAAAACCCTAAACCCTAAAGACCCTATACCCCAAAAACTTTAAACCTTAAAAACCACCTAAACCCTAAACACCCAAAACCCCTAAAAACCCTAAACCGTAAAACCTTTAAAGCCCTTTCAAAAATTAGAACCATAGAACCACCTAAAGCCTAAAAACCCTAAACCCTAAAAGCCCTAAACCCTAAAAACCACCTAAACCCGAAAAACCCTAAACCCTAAAAACCCTAAACCCAGAAAACCCTAAACCATAAAACCCAGAGCTAAAGCCCTAAAAGCCAGCTAAAACCTAAAAACCCTAAATGTGAGGAGTGCGCGCTGGAGAGAAAAGGAGTGCGCGCTGGAGAGCTTTTTTGGAGTGCGCGCTGGAGATAAAAAGGAGTGCGCGCTGAAGAGCCCTCCCCTACAGTTTCCAACTGCAATGTAGCCATGCAGTATGTCGATTCGATTGTCACGCTGGTCTCTGTTGACTTCATGGTAAGGGTTGTTGGGAGTCATTCTGCTCCTTTCAGAAGCCGATCGCGATTTTGGAGTCTCGACCAAGCCTTTTATTGCTGTTGTGAAAGATCTGTTTCTGCACGGAGGGTAGCAACATGCATCGTCCTGAGATCTTGTGTCAGCACAGTCCTTTTGTGTTTTTGGAGCGAAGTTCTTGTGATTGTTAAGCCGACTGCAGGTCAAGTCCTCTCAGTTCACTTCTGGCATGAACTCAAAGGCCAGTTCACTTTTCGCCATCGAAAGGTCCTCAAATTCAGTCAGCTTCTTCCTTGCAGGTCGGACTGCAGATCAAAGGCATGGTCCTTGCCAACCTCCACCTTTTCAAGAAGGCGGGAACCTCTAGAGCCCAGGTGCGGTCTTTTTGCCTCTTGCGGTCTTTAGGCTAGACTTTAGGCTATGCCGCTATGTTTTGGGAGACTACTGGGGTCATGCACGCTGAACGCTTGCGTGTCTTGATGCCTGCTCATTTCCTTTCCGCAGTTTCCAGGCAATCTCCACATGCTGAAGTTGAGGTCTCAAACAAAACCTGGGGGTGGGTTACCCGGGAGGAGTTGTCATGCCAGATTTCCAGGTATAGAACTTCTTAGAGAGTACTTCTATCCGAAGCTGTATACCGCATTGACGCTCTTGAACTAAGAGTCTATCTCAATAAGTGCTGAAGAAGACAAAAGTTGTGCAAATATGGTGAGAAGCATACCTTGCACATGGTTTCAGGCGTAAGCTTGTTGAGATTTAAGCAGGCTGGCTTGGGGTAGCGGGCTTGGCGCCAAGTTGAGTAGGTGGACCCTGGAATGGTGTGAAGTATGAAGCCTTAATGCCTGTGACACTTCCAAGAAACCTTTCTGGTAACACTTGCGGAGTGGTCAGAGAGGAAGCACCCAGTCCCCATATCAAAGTTGAGCAGAATTTTGACTGGAAATTGGGAACTCTGCCTTTTGCTCAATGAGCTGCACCAGACCAGCCGAAGCTGCTTGTGGAGGGTTGCAGTGAGGGAGGTTTTGTGTAAAAAACGCCGTCTCGAAACACTTCCCAACAGACCCGTGAACCAAATTTCTTATCACCGGACAGAGAACGATCATGAATAAGTACGGGCTCAATGGGCAGCCGTGCCTGATACCGTAAAGGTCGGATAGACATGCAATGACGAGATCACCTGTGAGACGTCTCCAAGAATCCCAAGTTACGCAGGGCAAAACGCATTTGTATGGTCGATGGGATCAAAAGCTCGTTTCCAGTCCCAAGATAGGCAAGGGAATCAGATAGGTGTCTGAAAATAGACCTTAGGCCATAATCTAAAAGTACCTATACCGCCTACACCTTAAATTTCGATATTGATGTCTGGTTCTTGCAATGAATAGGATTGTCATCCTAGATATTTACTTTTTACAACGGCCGCAATGCTCGAAATAGTTATGAATTTCCTGCTATGCTCATTTAGATTTGGATCCCCTGCGGCTGAATCAGCGAGGGCTAGGGCTGGAGGTGTGATGCGCTTGGGGTTGTTTATCGACAAGGGTTCGGAGCTGTTGATGGACTAGGGTTTTGGGTTGTTTGATGTCTTTCGCTTGTGCGTTCAGGGCCTAGCTTTGTGGATTGCTGACAATTATGGGTTGCAGTGTTTACAAACCTAGGGTTTAGAGTTAAAGGTTAAGCTTAGGGCTCTTCAGGGTTTCAGGTTTTGCAGTGTCAGGGCTCTTTAGGGGTTTTGGTCTGGTTCTTCAGGCTGTAAGGTTTGGACGGGCTTGGACCTCTCAGGGATGACAGCGTGACGCTATTGAGGTTTCCTCGTTTAAGTCAGAGTTCTTTATGCTGTTTAGGCTTTGGGGCTGGGTCCAGGCGTGGGGCTGTTTAGGGTGTAGGTCCCAGCGTTCTTTAGGGTTGAAGTGTTGGGCTACTTGGGATTCATGGTTGGTTAGGTTTTGAAGATTGGGGTTGTTTAGGGTGTATGGTTTCTTAGGGTCCATGATTGTTAGGGTTTGGAAGTTCGGGGCTAATTTGGGTTTGGCGCCGTTTTGAGTTAAAAGTTTAGGGTTATTTTGGTCAGGGATTGGTATTCGTTACCTTAGGGTTTGGGCTTAGGCTTGTTTAGGGTTTACAGTTTTTCACTGTGCCTTTGTAGCACAGCATGGGCTTGGGGCTGGGGCTTGTTTAGGGTTTTCGGCTCAGTGCTATTTGGGGCTCAGGGCTTTTGGGTGGGCTTGAACTTGTTCAGTTTCGGGGTTTGGGGTTGTTCAGGGTTTGGGCGTCAGGTTTCCTAGGGTTCGGGGTTCGTGTTCAGGTTGGGGGGTTTAGAGTTTGGGGCTCTTCAGGTTCAGGGCTTAGGCTTGCTTGGGGGTTTAGGGCTTGGGGCTTGAGTTCGATTTTTCGGCGTATTACCGCTTCGGGTTATCTGGGGCTCGTTGTTTTTGGTTCAAATTGTTCAGTTTCAGGGCTTGGGATGGTGTATAGGTTTGGTTGTTGAAGGTTTGCTGCCCGGGCTGTCTAAGGCAGCTGGTTTGGGGTTGCTTGGAGTTGTTCAGCGTTTAGGGTTCGTCTTTTTTGTTTAGCTTTAGGGTTTGGTGTTAGGGCCAGGATTTGGGGTTAGAGGCTCCTTAAGGCTTAGGCTTGTTTCAGGTTAGGGTTTGAGGCCTTTCGGGCTTGGGGTTGTTTAAGGTTCAGGGTCATGGCAGCTGCCGCCATGCAAATTTGTGTGTAGCTTGACCCGAAGTAGATCATGGCACTTTAAAATCAAGCAGCCGCAGTCCGATGAACCTGCCTTGTATAGTCCTACGTGCGAATGGCCAGGAAAGTAAGCCAAAAAAGCAAACAGCACTGAAAGCCTTAAAGTTCTACAGCTTACAGATTATGTTGTGCTGGCTGTTTGAGTAAGCTCGTCTTTGGGTCAGGACACGTCTGGACAGACCCTTGTGAAATTGCTATACGGGTCGATGCGGGGGGTAGGGGGTCTATCCGGTTTGGGATAGCCCTGTATCAGGTAGGGGTCTATCATACGCACCATAGACAGCTACACTTAGTTAGGCTATGCTCTCCAGTGCAGACAGAGAAGTGTTAAGCGTTGATTGCGCATCGTAGCCGATCCCACGCCCTATGTAAGATAACAAGTGGATTCCATGTGCATTTTTTTGACCAAATAAAGTGCGCCCTAGCAAAGGGCTTTGCTATCGATGCAAGCCTCCGTTGGATCATTGCCGCGAATATTTTATTCACATTCTTCAACAATGAACAAGGCCTGCACGAGGATGGATCCGTATCGTGCCCCCTACTTATCAATGCTCAAACGTCTTGGGAGCTTACCTGGTTGTAGCTGTTTGTCGTTTGTGGCCTTTTGGCCCCCCACTCTATGTTGACCCTGTTTCTGTTTTGATTTCAGTTTGTGCCTTCCTTAGCTGAATCCCGACCAGGAGCAGCAGAAAAGCCTGCAGCACAGCAGGCCTATGACTTGAAACGTCGTTGTGCAGACAAGGTAGAGCAGTTTCGGTCTTGGCACGCTGTCAATAGCTATGCACATGGCTGAGGCAAAGCTGTAGGAAAGCATGGGTTTTCAGCTATGGTCCAGTGTTCTTCCTCCATAACATCACGTGCCCACTTTAGGGCATGAATTGCAATTGATTTTAAAGGATACTTGCGCTGCGGACCTTTGGCTTCAAGCAAGTTCTTGATCTGTGAAGAAACAAGCATGGTTTATGGAGCAAGCCCAGGCTCATGAGCTTCTCCGAGGACGGCTCTGGGCCAAAAGGCGAGGGCTGGCTGGGTATGGAGGGGTAGGGAAATTACTGAAGCTGGGCAGGTGCGGCTAGTACGCACTTGGCATTGCCATGTTCACAAGTTCACGGCTGCTGAGTGATTCGGTTTTGAGCTACAAACTCTTTGCTTTGGCGCTCAGAGCTTCAAGTCACGGAAAGGGAAGGAAGAGACTAATTACATGTGACGTGCAGGAGGCTCCGACAGCGAGGAGTCCAAGAGGAAACGCAAGAGACGAAGATCTAGCCTGCAGCTCAGACAGTACACACGTGGAAAATGGCTCGGCTTGAGGGTACACATTTGGCGAAGCACATGTAACTCTAGGAGAGAGAGAGAGAGAGGTGTTTAGGATGAAGCCATGTCGAGATTGCTTGAAAACGCTTCAGGCAGCTATGTCATGTTTGAAGACATGCGATCGACTAAGGCTACAGCAGCGATGACTACAGCCGTAGCCGAAGTAGCAGTTACAGCAGGAGTCGAAGGAAGAAGAAGAGCAAGAAGGAAAGGGATTTCTCTGTGTTGATTTGTAGGCAAGAGTCTCTTTGCAGCACCTTACTTGGCGTTTGCTTAGCATGACAACTGCTGCAGTGAAATATTTTGCGTTGTAGATTATGGTAAGAGCGCATGCTTCACGTCATCAAATGCAGCGTCCGGAGGAGCAGGAGGAGGACAGCAAGCCCAAAGACAAGGCAAAAGACAAAGAGAAGGCCAGAAAGAAAGTCGTTTGAGTCAAGTTGTAGCACTTGGTGCGCAACAGAGGTCAAGGAAAAAGAGAAGGACAAGGTCAAGGAGAAGGACAAGCAGGAAGATCAGAAAGATGCAAAGAAGAGCCCAAGCTGCGTTGTGGACGCTTTGGAGAAATTGCTGTGTCACATCAACGATGATGAGGACGACTACAGGGATGCCTCAGACATGACGGAGTCCAGAAGCTCCAGTACTGACTGTGTGGAGTATTAGTGTGGATGCATATCAACAACCTTGGGCAGGACCTTTATCAAATCCCTCCCCTTCAAGCATTGTTATATTTCACACCCTCAGCAGTAGTCGCTTCAGCTTCCAAACCTCAAATCCAAATGTAGTCAACAAATCTTTGTTGAGAAACGGTGTGTCCCTCTCCGATCCACGGCACTGTTCGGATCTGACTGCACCTCGCCATAAGCTGAAGTCCATACGTTGAAGTACGGTGTTGCGCGTGGCGCAGTGTAGAGCCACTGTCACGGGCCATGCAATTGTTCGGTCCTGCAACCTGTAAAGCATGGCCCTCAAAAGCTGCGTACGCCCGCGAGGCTTGCGGGAAGGGTCGACCGAAGTGTTGGAGTGGACTTCCATTGACAGGGTTAGGGATGCCTGCTGTTCGGGACTTTGTAAGGCATACGTACTGGCACCTGACAGGGCATGTCGACGATCCCAGTTTCGCATTGGAGCGTTGAGGGATTAATTGGTCATTTAGGTCGTGCGTGAGATGGCTGTTTGGAGTGAAAGTGCAGTAAATGAACTAGAGGCAAACTCAGTTCTAAGAGTTTCCCGCTAGGTGGGAAGCGCCCTCACAAAAAAGAGTATGCCATCTCCTTGTGGAAGAAGAGTTTTGAATCAGAATCTGCCGTGCTCTGCCCAGGAAGGCAAAAAAAGATAAAGCAAAGGACTTCCCTCTTGAGGGTCCGCGAAAGGCGCTTTTGCTGGTGTGATTGAAGCAGGACAAGTCCGAAGCAGATGTGGACGACGAAAAACCAAAGGAAAAACAGAAAGAGAAGGAGAACCTCGGCACTTGTTAGTCGGCTGGATGCATTCATTGCAGATGCTGCGCGAGTGAGCTTGCTCCAATCCCGCTCACCCAGGAAAACGAAGGATGAGGATGCAGGTAAAAAGCAGCTTGGACTGAAGAACAAGTGTGCGGCAACACCATGATCTTATGACAAGAAGACTTTGGCATGATTCGTTGTGCGCGTCAGGAAGAGCAAGAAGGACAAATTGAAGGACCCGCTTATGAGCCATCTGTTCATGGAACAGGGAATGCGGCGTGCAAATTTTAGTGTCATTGCAAACAGGGTCCTTGCCAAGAGCGTGTCGCATGCTGTGTATCGAAAACGTGGAATTTGTTGTAACACTCAAATCAGGAGTGACGGAAATCGCGTCATCTGGTTCCGGTCTCGCCTGAAGCTTCGAGCGGACTTGTGGTCAAGTTTCAGGGCGTCTCCTTTTCCATGGGTACCAGCCAAGCAAATCCTGAAACCACGCGCAATTGAGGATTCGCAGATATGAACCTTGTATGTCTCTCCTGTGACTCGTGTTGGGTGCAGTTTCGGGCATGGCCTTCCATGGAGATAATGGATCTAACAGTGGCCAAGAGCCAGGTTGCCGGGAATCCCCGAGTCTGTGAGCCTGTATCATCCCATACTTGTGCCGCGCATGTCTGTTCCTTCGCACGGGATTCCCGTCAGCACCCTCGACCTGAGCATTTCGCAACAGCCCTGAGGAAAGGATTTCAGGCTGGCCAGGTGCAGCCCTCCAAGCTAGCAAAAACTGAGCGTCTGCCAGGGCATCGGCAGAAAGTTCAAAGGCCCAGCATCTTGTTTATTTTGATCCAGCATGTCTAAAGATATCAGAGTTGCATAGTGAAGCTGTACCGGAATGTGAACTCCGATCAGGGTTCTTGTAGACATGCCAGCAAAGCGGCGGCAAGTTCACAGCCTCCCTGCCAATATGCGGAAAAAGGCGCGGGTGCGTGGATGCTTCATGCTCATTTTGCCGATCAAGCCGGACATTCTATGGTACGGACTGACATCTTTTTGCCAGGGTCAGCCAGTAGCTGGAAGCTTCATGATTATCGCCTTGCATTTGACTCAAGCTGCCAGTTGCAGTCTACCAGATCGGGTCAAAAGGGTCAAGAGCCATGTTACTGTACCCTACTTCAGACGAGTTCATTTGACCAGACGCTCATTGCAGACATGAGACCTTGGCCTGCAACCTTGTCATCCCCGTGTCATCCCCTGTGTTCCCCGTGTTTTTTCCCTTGTGCTTGACATCTTGTCCGGGTTCCAGCAGTGCGCTGAATTCACCCAGCTCGCAGGCTGACACAGACACTGCAGGGCTTTTTTAAGCAGAAGCTTTCTGAGGGTTTAGGGATTTCGTGCGCAGGCAATGAGCGATCCATCGGGATATGTCGCGGCCGAGACATGTCAGGACCGCGTTGCTTGCGTCAAATTGGCTAGCTTTGCAAGCTTCGCAAGCTTCGCAAGCTTCAAGAGGGGTGCCCTTTGAAAATTCTGCCTTCAGATGAATCCGAGCAGTGCTTGAAATCGTGGAGGTCACCACCTCGCAATGTCAACCCATGGGACGCTTCATGGGCATTGGAACCGTGCAATTCAAACGATCAGCTCAGAGGAATCTGCCTGCAGAATGGAAGAGGCTCCCCTTTCACTAAAGTCATCTGCCTAGGGGCCTAGTAGGTTTAGTCATGCCAGCTCTTTTTCCAGAACATTAAGGCGGCCAGAAACGCAAGAAGAACACGCACCAAGTGCGTTGTGCAAAACACACGCTGTCCATCAGCAAGCCATCCTCTGTCATCTGAACTTGGGCTACCTGCTGCTCGTTTTAGCTCCTGACGGAAGCATTTCATAGAAAGCTGTTCAAAACTTCACAAAGAGTCAATCCTTTGAGTGCACGAATGCCTGCGTCCCCCTGCGAGCGACATGTGCTGCCTGCCTTCAATCTTTCCTTCGTGGCGAGCGTGATGATGATGATGATGAGGATGATGACCATGATCATGATGATGATGATGATGATGATGACCCTGATGATGATGGTGATGATGATGATGACGATGATGGCATTGCAACATGCGTGATTCCCATTCGTGACATCTAGCTGGCTGTACGGTGCCCAGAAGCTCAGCTTGACATGTTCTTTCTCATCCGAGTTCCTTCTGCCTCACACCTACCGCGGCTGTCCTGGAAGATTCAGAGTACGTGGGCAACAGGATAAGCCGGGCAAATTCTGTTTTGCCATAGGCACCATCAGGCAGTGCAAAGATGTGCAATACATGTATTTTTGGCAGCAGCCTGTGCACAAGGGTCAGAACCAATGAAATCTGCACAGACTAGATGCCTACAAACAGGTACCGTCACCTTCGTTTGCCGCGCATTTCTTGTTCTGGGCGAAAAGTGGTACAAGTTGCTTCAGGGCTTTACCAGGGTTGGGGGGGATGAGTTCATTCTGCTGACAATTGACGGTACAAGTTGTGGGCGAGTTGGGGGTGTGGGAAGGGTCTGGGGGGAGGGATGATTTGGTTCTGTTGATCTCGCTTCTTGTACGCTGCTTCAAGGTTTCTTTCAGGAAGATGCAGTAACTAGCAATCGACAGAGTCTGCAGCACTTTGCTGCTCCAACCCGGCGTGGGGCGTCGGGATTTCGCCCTGCCGCTGGGTGCTGCAGTTTTTGTTTTCTGGTTTACGATCCAGTACTTTTTCTGTGTAAGGGCCGAGTGGATTCTTGCGCAATCATACATGTGCCAGGGATGTCGTGTCTTCGTGTTCGGAGCATGTTCCATGGACATGCATGTATTCTCCTATCCTACATGGCTTGCACGGCCTCATTCTGCTTGTTTGCTGGGTGCTCCGCCTGGTTGCTATACGTGTAAACTGCAGGCCATTCTGGCCTTCTCGGTGGTGCCCATATGTGAGTTGGAAGATTACCTCCGCATTTCAATTTCCCAGGATGTAATTCCCTCCCCTGTGCAGCTATCTTGGCTTGCAGCTTCAGTTTGTGGATGTGGATGCTTGAGTCACTTAAAAACCGCGCACCCGAAGTGCAGAGAGAGTTGCGCGAACATCCCAAATCCCCACTTGTTTTTGTAGTTGTCCTCTGCCAGCTCGCATGCAAATCCCCTGTGCTCTGCCAAGCGAGGGAAACAATGGGTATGAAACCTACAAACAAGTAAGGCAAAGACATGTTTCTGGGAGTGCCGCTGAAGACCATTATGTCCCTTTTACGCCAAATGCACTACTCGCTACTCCTTGCAGTTTTGTTTGAAAGCTGTACTTCTGTAAGCATTTTGAGCTGTGGAATCCCTACCTCTGGTTGAGATTGCCAACATTCTTCATCCTATGAAGATGCTTGCTGTTTCTTTGTGGAGGGAAGGGATGGCAGAGGAGCGATAGGGAGGGACGTGCCATGTTCGAGTAACCCAATCGATCCTTTATCCGTTATAGCATCCTTCTTTTGCAATCATGGGACAATTACGGGAAAGGGTAGGCATGTGTGACTTGTCCGGTGTCGTCTGCATTCTCCTTTTCACTTCCTCCATGAGAGCTATTCCCTTGTTATCGTCTCATCCTGGTGGTGAGATGTGCTGTGCTGTGATTGTGGGCGTTGATATAAACAAGTCATCTTGCGATGCTTCAAAAGTCGCCGGCGCAAGAAGGATAAACATACAGGAATGGAGATCAGGTCGGTGGACCAGCTGCAGGGAGTCGTGTTGGAGATACAGTACAGCACAGCCAATTCTTCTTTTTGACTTGAAACTAAGAGCAACATTTGAAAAGCCAGTCAGTGGAAAGGTCAAAAGAGTGAAGTTGGCAGGTGACACGCAGCAAACCATCTCATTGATGCAAAACATTGCATCTTGAAATCCTTCTTGAAATCTCGGGCAACACCTGCATGTTGGCCGCCACAATTGCTCTCTCTCTCTCTCTCTCTCTCTCTTTTTCCTCCCTCTCTATTTCTTGTGTGCAGCGCCCAGGAGATCATGGAGAAACAGGAAGATCTCTGTGCCCTGCAGGAAGAACGAGGCTCTTAACTTGCTTGCAAATTTCCAATTGGTCATTGCAGCCTAGTCTCGCAGGCCTCGGCCAGTGCGGTGACTATTTTGTGATCGAGCATATTGGCAAGGGTGTCTATGGTGAGGTGACAAGGGCCGAACACATGAAACTGTCCTGCAAGAAGGGGCTTGCGCGTGGTGGGCTTCGGACTGAGTCGTGTTACCACTCGTAGGCAAGCAGTGGCAGACCTCAGGATAACCCGCAACGTTGTGGCGATCAAGCAGCTGCCCTTTGATCCGGAGGTGTCGCTCCCAAATGCTTGCTAAATAGTAAAATGCCATACAGTCCTCAGGGAAATGGAGTTGCCGAATCGTATACCTGAGGGAAGGCAGAGGCTTGATAGTGCCCTACTGTACCGTTGGCAACTCTGAATCCGTGGTGCCTTCTTTGCTAGTCCGTAAGATTTTGCGTGCCACAAGGTGTGGGCAGATGACATCCCCAGGCATGCTCTTCGCGAACTGACTGTGCTGCGCAAGTTCAGGTGCCTTGTAGGCAGCACAAATTGCCACAGTCCGTTCAATATTGCATTGCAAGCCAAGCACTGCCCACAGCTTAGGCATAAGAACGTGGTGCAGCTGCTCGAGGTGATAGCGGATGTCCAGGACTGCTTGCAAGTCTAGGTTTGAGGGCTCATCGAGCGCAATCTCTGTCACATCAGCTGCGCAGCTGCCAAAAGTGCCAGGATCTTCGGCTCGTCTTTGAGTTCCATCCCAGTGACTTGCACAAGGTCCTAATGAAATGGAAGAAGGCTTCGCAGCGCACCCTGGAGAGATTCCAGCATTGCAATCAATTATTCATCAACAGGCACATGGATTACACGCACCATCCAGGGTTTCTTTTGAATAGTATGCCCGGGAAGGAGCCCGCTGCAAAAAGAAACCAGGATAGCCAGTTGCGCATTCCCAAACCAGAGGTCAACAATCCAATTTGGGTCTGAGGTATGCCAATCGAGCAAGTGAGACGCTATTCCGCAGACATTCTGGATGGCGTGTATGCTTGCCACACCAGGCGGGGCTTGCACGCGAGCATCCCAAACCTCACTCAGCTTTCCACGACAAGGGTCCCTGCCTTGAAGAGGACCTTGATCCACCGTGACCTGAAGCCACAGAACATCCTGCTCGGCCACGATGGCCATCTGAAGATTGTAACTCGTTCAAATTTGTTTTGGCCTGGTTGCGTAGAGGCGACGTGCTCACCATAAGTGGTGGCCGGTCGTCTTGCGACTTTGGGCCCCGTTTGTGTGTGGTTTGGTGCCAATGGGACTTCATTGGAGTCACTCTTCTTCGTGAAGCGTGCAGTGCATTTCTGGTTGATCTCAGGCAGACTTTGGATTGGCTCGTGTGGCCAAAATGTCCCGGGCGACCACGAAGGAGGTCGTGACGCTGTGGTACAGGCTGACCAAAGCCGACCTGCCGTGAAGGAAAACTTTCTCTCACGCGATTCG